AGTGTGGCCTTACCAAGGCATTATAAAGTGATATTAACACTTCACGTGATCTTGATTCTATCCCTCTGTTTATGCAGCCTAGAACTGTGTTGGCTTTTTGGCAGCTGCTGCACACTGCTGGCTCATATTCAAATGGTTGTCCACTAGGACTCCAAGATCCCTCTCACAGTTACTACTATTGAGTGAGGTACCACATATACTGTATATTATACTTTGTACAGGCTGCTATTCTAAACATACATTATTCCTTGTCCCTCTTGTTTTCAGCTTAGCTAGGATACCTCCAAAATCACATTTTTGTCACCTTCTCTTTCATTATGCTATATCTGGCGTCCAGGAACATATGCATGTATAAATTTTGCACACAGGAACAAAACCTAAAATCCTACCACTGCAACAAGACTTGGAAGTAACTTCAATATAATTTTACACTTGTTTCAGAAATAACCCAGAACAGGATGGAAAAAAATAAAGCAGAATGTATTTATTATTATAAATATGTAAGATGGCTTCTATTCCTTTAACTCTAAAGTATACATTTGTTATTTCTTTCACTCCTCACCATCCAATCAGATCACTCAGATGAAGATAGAAAGCAATCCTTTTGCAAAGGGCTTCCGAGAAAATGGCATGAACAGCAAAAGGTAAGCAGGAAGAAATCAAAACCACAACATTGGTATGGGTCTCCTGATGCTTCCCACTGCAAAAGATGTGCTTATCGGTGGCTAAGGCTGAAGGGCATTGTAATCCCTCTGCGGATGGCTGTATAACTTGTGGCCTCCAGATTACCTCGCATTAGAGATTTCATTCCAACAAGCTGAATTGTCAGAATCCAAATGCTAAGACTCTAGAAAGCAGGTGGGGTGGACTTTGCTAGACTAACAGTCTGCAACTGCATAATCCTGAAAGGTGTTTGAGCCCTGACTGCTGTTTTATCAGATCTTATTATGGTCCATTGCAAAATACAGGGAGCGTGAGGCCCGAATCAAAAGGAAGATGAAGACCAATGAATGCGAAGCAAACGAGGGTGAAAGTGGTGAGAACAACATGGGTATCTTATTCTGTCTCGAACTTCTTAAATACCACTTCTAACTTCAGCTTCTCCCTCTTCCGTGGAGGTGTGTTTGCTGACTGTGGCCCGAAAAGTCAAAACGACGGTTATGATGATGCAATGACAGCCCCACCTGTTTTTAGGTGCATTACATGTAATTCTTATGTGATTCTTCATTCAGGACTAGCCAAGGCTGGCCTGCTGAAATTTTGTGATTAATCAACATTAAATGAGATAATCCCAACGGCATCTCACTATGTCAAAAGGATGAGCTTTATCCCTTTGGGGATATATGCAATGTTGCAGCACATGTAGAAAATGAGTGAAGCTCGCTTTGTGATGCCTGATGTTTTCATCACCCTGACCTCCTTCACTTGCAGATGCTCCTGTATCACTTTATAACCATGATTCTAGATCAGAGGTGGAGAACTATATCCTTTTTATGACTTGTGAACTTCAACTCCCAGAATTCCTGACATGGCTCGATCAAGAATTCTGGGAGTTGAAATCCACAAATCATAAAACCATAGTTCCCCAACCCTGTTCTAGATAGTTGACCAAATGCCCACATCAGTGGTGGGATTCAAATTTCTTTACTACCAGTTCTGTGGCCGTGGATTGGTGGGCAGTGGCAAGGAAAGGATACAAGGAAAATCTCCATTCCCTCCCCACTCCAGGGAAAGGTTACTGGGGGAAGGTTACTGCAAAAAACCCATTTCCTCCCAATCAGCTGGGACTCGGGAGACAGAGAATAGATAGAGGTGGGGCCAGTCAGAGGTGGTATTTACCAGTTCTCAAAATTTCTGCTACCAGTCCTCCAGAACTAGTCAACTGCTGAATACCACCTCTGGCCCACATCTCCATCTCTTTCCTAATTACCCATCATTAATCCTATGCACACATTCAATAATAATCCTTTCTTGCCAAGGGTGGATTCCAGCTGTTGCCACTGCCAGTTCACTCAGGGCTGCACCCTGCGTGCCTGCGCAATAATGAAAAAAACCTCTATGGCATCACCAATAGAATTGGTCTGGGGCATGGCAGGCCAAGTTACTACCGACTCAGCCGAACCAGGCCAAACTAGTAGGAACCCACCTCTACTTCTTGTTTGCTTTTCTAATTCCCTCCATACTCTTATGATTCTTCCCAAAGCCCCTTTTTCCATTTTCTTCTCCTTCATCTGCAAGTATTCCCTCCTTTTTCCGTGAAAGTAGTCTTATTAATTCAAAGTGAAATAAACTTCCCAGAAGAACCTCGATTATACGGACTAGTTTAGTTTGTTTGTTCACAGGGCTTACAGCCTGCTCAAATCAGAAACAACTCCAAGAATCGGTTAATTATGGAATCTCCTCACTTGATTTCCAATGGGCTGGACAAATTGCTAGATTTTTCCCCCCTTAATTAAGTATACAGTCATTTCACCTCCTTGTGTCACCTCTTTCATAAAGAGCTCTACGTCTCTGCCAACTATGTTCCCGATATGTAGTTGTTTAATTCCTACTGATAATTTTGTCTTCTCTTCCGGTCTTCTCTGTCTTCTCTTTCTTCCCATAGAGAGCAAGAAAGGCCCTTGTGACTCCACCCTGACAGAAGAGGGGCCTCTGGAACAACAGCCGCCCCCTGCACTTCCACAGCCTTCCTGTTCCTTCTACCCCCCTACAGGAATTAATCTCAATGGGGCTGAGGCTTATCTACAACATCCAGCTGCTTTTCATGGTTTAAGGGGGCCAGCATCACCTTATGGCAGGTAACAGAATATTTATTTGTTTGTTTGCTTGTTTGGTTTTAAAGCTGCCCAACTCCAGAAAAATGCAAGGTTGTCTTGCAATATTTAAAACAGAGGTGGTATTCAGCAGGTTCTGACCAGTTCTGGAGAACCGATAGTGGAAATTTTGACNGGCCGGCCACGATGACCAGAAGCCGGGATTACAGCAGCCGGTCCGTAACAATGATGGTTAAAAGTCAGAAAGGGCCGCGATGGAAGGGGGGGGAAAGTGCACTAGGGTCAGCAGCGGCGACAGCAGTGCGCTAGGGTCAGCAGCAGCGACGGCAGGAAGGCCAGTCGCACAGATCCATAGCGCAACAATATTAAACTCACCAACTCCCCTGGGTGGCAGTACGGCTCAGCGGCGTCTCATCGGCGAAAGCAGGGCCGTAGCATTCCAAATTCGAGCTACAAACTGCCGTCAGATGGAGAATTGTCACCCGCGGGAAGAGGGGGGGGCGACACCCGGAGGTCGCTCGTCACCACTCGTCACCGTTAGAAACTGTCCAGAGCCGCCAGAGTAGTGCCCCTCAGGCAGAACGCCGCTCCACAATGAAATGCTGACCCGAATTCAAGCCGAGATCGCCGCCGCCAGCTGGAGGACTGCCATCCGGGGGGGGGGGGGGGGGGGCAAGGCCTTCTACAAATGTTTCAGTAGATTAACAGTTTGCTTCACTGATCATATGATCAAAATGAGCCAAGCCAGCATCTTTATTAGCAACTGTTCCAATCATGTATAATATTTTCCTCAAGCTTATCTTTTAATGTCAGCTCTGTTGCCAGAGGCAAATAACCTATTGGTTAATATCATCTTGCATTCCATTCTTGCTTTCAGGCCAATGCAAAAATATTTAAAAATAATAATATCTGGCAGATTTGCAATTATCCTTTCAACTCAATCCCATAAGAAAGTCAAAATCCACAGTGTTATCGTTTACACCAGGAATATCCAACCTTGGCAACATTTAAGACTTGTGGACCTCAACTCCCAGGAGTCTGGCTGGGGAATTCTGGGAGTTGAAGTCCACAAGTCTTAAAGTTGCCAAGGTTGGACACTTGATTTACATCAAATAGGATATTACAAGAAAAAAAGGAATCTTTTCAGTGGAATCTCTATGGAGATTCTCAGTCATCCACGTCATAGTTGTCCCAAAGGTGCTTTCTTCAAGAGGCAACTGGACTTTCTGAAACTTTTCTTTGAAGAAGTTTCACTTCTTATCCAAGAAACTTCAGCTCTGACTGGATGGTGGGGAATGGAAGGATTTATATTCCTTGCAAACAGCTTGTTATTTGCATTCTTTTCAAAGAAAAACCAAAAAGTACAAAAAGCACCTTTGGGATTTTCAGTGGAATGAGAAAGGACTAAGGAAGTTTAGAAATACCTTATGTAGAGAAATCACAATGAAAATCATCTGAGCTATATATGGGAAAGCACAATTGTGTGATCCCCAAAATGGGAGGCTACGCAAGATCAGCCAATGTTCTTAGGCACTGACTTATGCTATGCTTTTCCACACCCCAAGCCAAGAAATAGCAGCTCCCCCATCTTCCCCCCCTACCAAGTCTCCTCATGAGCAAACAGATATCAGAACAATGCTTCCAGCGAGCTGGGCCAGCCTGGATATGGTTCCTTTCCTTGCAAGTGCAGAACCACCAGAAGCTTCCTCGTTCTCGCCTTTCAAGTTCAGTTTTGCACCCTACCCACCTCCACCTCGTGTCTATGGACCTCCCTCTGGCTACCCTGACTCACAGCCATAAATGCTTTAACCCCTGTACAACCTGGATAC